TATATATATCAAAATAATCATAAATGCCCAGAGCGATTATTCCAGAGCACAAATCAAGCCATAAAAGCAAAATAACCAACAGCACATTCCAAAGTTCACGGAGGATATAATGTTGATAAATATACATAAACTCATCTTGGTTTTAGCCCCTGGGTCACGTTTTCTCCAAGTTGTTGAAATAGAATGGAAAGAAAAAAAATCTCATTTATATAACCAGTGCTGATCAGCCTACAGATAGTCGCCCACCTGAGGCTACCTCAGCATCCTCCACAAATATTGACAGAATTCTTATCTGTTTTCCACATTTTCTAACAAATATGAAGCTTGTATACAAATCCTGTTTTGCTTGGTTGTTAAATACACTAAATTCTTCACAAAAGCACTTTTGCATTCATTGTATGTTTCCAGGAACTGCAAGGCTCATGATGTCTGATGGACCTGGATGCAGCTGTATCTTTACATTTACATTTCTGGATAAGCTCTATGGCTGTCATTAACTGACACTGGTGACACCGTCTGTTCTCTGTTACAAAACTGAAGTTTGGCTGTACTAATGAACAAGGTTTTATGTGGCTGTGCATTCCATGCATCAGGGTTTTTCTTAGTTGATGAATTCATAAACACGCCCAGGAGAAAGCCCTGCTCAACCTATGCTAAAGTGAATGGATTTCCTGAGAACTACTGACAGGTGGGACTAACAAGTAAAAGTAACCTAAGGAGTCTTGCAATCTTAATCAATAGCTTAAATGAGCAAAGAGAACAGTTACTGTATGTAGCTTTTCCAGATGTTCCAGTAGTTGTACTGTTCTAACACAACGGGCCCACTGTACTGCTTCTAACATCCAATATCTGAATATAAAAGCCTTTTCAATATAACAGTTGTATGTATTATGAAGGTCAGTAAACTGTTACTCGGTTCACACCAAAAATATAACGCATGTCTGAGTCATCTGTGTGTATAGGGTCCCTCAGCTGATGAGTGGTTAGTTTGCATCTGCTGGTTGGTCTGTCAGCAGTTCTCAGGGGTCATTTCTATGTGGGTACACAATATACAGTATGTACTGATGAAATATGTAGCATTTTCATCCCCAATGATGTGAAGACCACACTGTCACGGTGTTAGTACATTTTCATCTTATAGTCGCAGTCATAGTGTTTGGGTTTCATACAGCACACACTTTATTTTGTCAGTGTATTATCTTATTTGACTGGATGCTTTTTAGTTGGCATTCTGTCTTAGATTCAGTTAGGTTTGCTTAAAGGATAAGCTTGTTTTTTGTTTTCATTATGAATCCCCCCAGACCCAAAGATGTAGCCCCAAAGTCTCTGTGCAGCCATGATTTCTCGAAGTTAGCACAAGTCAGTCAATTGCACATGCTCAGATCTTGCACAAGCTCTCTTATTTTACTTTCCTCTAGTTTTTGTTTGGGATTTGCTAATGAAGAAACATCACCCAGTGCAGTGGTGTAATTCACTGACATGTTTTTAATTGTTTTTGAACAATACGGAGGTGTACTGCACAGATGAATAAGCTGATCCAGGACTGACAGCTGACAGACATTAACATTAAATAGAGGCAATTCATGGTCAGTTTTAATTCAATTTTATTTGTATATTCCCAAATCACAACAAAGGTCTCTGTATGTGGAGTAAATAGTACAATATTTGGCTCTAAAATGTAGTGAAGTCAAAGTATGAAGTAACAAAGTGAAAATGCTCAACTACAGATATCTCATAATTGTACTTAAGTACAGTACTTGAGTAAATGTACTTCTTTACTTTCCAACACTGAACAGATAAACAGTGTGTGATTAATTTGTTATTAATTGGAGTTAGCTATAGACAATCATGCAATTAATCAAGATTAAATTAGTCAATTTATGTGTATCACATTTATGTTGAAATTGGTCATTAAATCAGTTTTTACTCAGATTCATTCTTTGAGATAGATGTGGGGCTGGTGGTGAATAATGGAAATGATGAAATCATGCAAATAAGTTCTAACTTTCCATCCACAATACATTTACTGGACTTTCTGTGCTGCACAATATTAAAGTGACATGAAACGACAGTAATATGAGCGCAGTCATAGACACTATGTCTATCATTAACATTTCATACAAGTAGGAAGCTTGTATGAAAGACATGTGTTTGAAGATTTGGGGTCTATTTTTGTGGTCTTCTGGCATGTCTTTATAGAGATTTTGTCTCTTTGTTGTCATTTTGCCTCTCTTGCAGCTGTTTAGCCTGTCTTGGGGGACGTTTTGTGTCTTTTTGCGGACATTTTGCATGGCTTTATAGTCATTTTTGCATTTCCTCGCAGTTGCTTAGCATCCCCTGGCAGACATTTTGTGTCTCCCTTTAGTCATTTTGCCTCCCTTTACTGTATATATATTTGTGTATGTCTTTGCGGTTGTTTTGCCTCATTTCTGCCTTTTTCCCCCTTTCTGGGATAATTTGCAGGCAAACTCCAGGGGCCACCTGGCCCCTTGGGTCCCCGGGCTTGTGCCTGAGTGTCCCATTCAGTAATCCATCCATGCAGGCAGTACTCTGCCCTGTCTCAGTTTTGTGAGTTACCACCCCTGTTCATGGTGCGTTTATGACAATGATATGGCCGTGACAGGACTCAGCACCGCGGACAGCTCCGACGTGTGGCCCCGCCTCTTCTACCGGGTGAGTGTTGCGCACAAGCGACCAATATCTGCCGCTGCCTCTGTTTAGCACTAGGTACAACAGAGGGAGCTTCCAAGAGCCTTCGACCCCGAGAGGAGAGGGAACCTCGCTCCGGATGTGATGCGTAACGGTGCTCTGCGTGCTGAACAACACTTTGATGGCATAAAACCTCCCGGTCTCATTTGACCACACGTTGTGTGTGCGCGCGCGCAGCCCGTGTGTGTGTGTTCCGCAAGGACTATGCTTTTGTAGCGCGAGCGCGAGTGACAGTATCGCTCGCGTTTTTGCCTCTCAGATATCTGGCGGTGCCCTAACTGGGAGCCCTTTGGACGTTGAACAAGTTTTGTTTTTTATTTGAGTCGTTTTTCCATTTGAGTTGTTTACTTGGAGCACAAAGCCCAGGACCAAATGGGGAGCGAAAAGTACTTGCCGGAACTCATGGCTGAGAAGGACACGTTGGATCCGTCTTTTCAGCACTCCCTGCGGCTACTGGAACAAGGTAAATATCCGTGGTTAAAATACTAAAAGAAACAGCTGAGCTGTGTGAAAACCGTTCGAGTCTGCACCACACCGTTCAGTTTAATGTTTGGCTTTGGGCTGCAGGCTACATGACACCACCAGCCCGCCTACTTCAAGTTAAAAATAAGAGATTTGTACAATTTCCTGTTTGGTCACACAAGGTCCTTTTAGCTCCATATCTGTTTTGCCAAGCTGTTAGGCAACAGAGGTGCCAGTCAGCCTTCTGTGGTGTAAAATTCAGTAAAACGGGGCAGGTTTGACTAAACACTGTACCTGCTGCATTAGTCAAATCAGAAGATGCAAACTTTTTCCTGTGATTTAGACAAAACTTGGGCCCATAAGATCATGAATACTAAAATTATTTTTTTAAAATTTAGTTTTAAACCAGCACAGACATAGAAGATTTTAATGAAGGTAGTTAACATGTATGTAGAAAGCCCCTATATGAAATGGTATAACAGTGTGCCTCCAGTTTATGAATGGAAGCAGCAGTGAAGCCTCTTTGCACACTGCACTCAGCTCTGTCCCATACAGACATGTGTAAGTTGTGGTGAAAGAAGCGGAATAAACACTTTTATTCAAATGTACATGTGTTTCCTCCTTTGAAGACATGGACGTGATTCAAATGGAATTTCGAATGGATAGAGCAGCAGCAGCAGTCATAGACATTTTAATTAATCCGCTGCACAGCCTTCTGCTTTGAAGCTGTCGGAATATTGCAAACACTTCTTCAGATGCAGCCCTGTGGAACTCCTCATGTTGGAAGCGCACTGTTAACAGCATCCAAGTGCATCCTTCAAGTACCACTCATGGGCTTTGTCTAGTCTAACAGACTGTGGTTGGCTTTAACGGTAACAGGCAAAGAGCATTACTTGACTCTAAACAGTTGTGCTGCAATGTAACTAATTCTGTCCAGCCTCCACCTGCAGCTCCTGCACCAGGCAGTTTTTATTTTAAGAGCCATGTCCCATCTGTTTGCTGCTTCTCAAATCTGGGACCTCAAATATTCCTTAAAATGGGTTGCAAAGGGGCCCCAGCAAAGTGAAGCATGATTTAATTTTTATGTTGTTTACTTGCTGGAGTTTACCAAAGTGACAAACAGAACGACTTTTCAGATGATACTATCTAACCTTCCAAACCACCAGTATGAATACACTTATTTTTATTACCAGTTATTCTGCTGATTATATTCTTGATTAACTAATTATCCTTTTAGTCTATAAAATGTTCCTCACAACTTCCTAAAACCCAAGGTGGCGACTTCAAATGTCTTGTTTGTCTGGTCAACGGTCCAAAATCTAGGGGTATTCACTGTACAAAAGCAGCAAGTCCCCACAAATGTGAAGCAGGCACATACCTTAAAATACCGTAGTTAATTTATGGTTGAACCACTATTTTAAATTTATCACATGATCCCTATGCAAAAATCTTCCTCTTTATAACATAATCAAATTTAATGTAATGAAACTAGGTCTTGTGGTCACACTGTTATCGGTTGGTCTATTTGAGGAATCCTGACATTACAGAAACTGGCAGGACTGCTATGTCCTGATACTCTAGTATTAAAAACTATTGCAATGTGCTTTTTTAAGGCACTTTCTTCACTGTAGTATGGAGAATGAAACATGTAAAAGCTATGATTTTAATTTTAACTCTTATACAGTATACTTACTATCACCTTTGGATACAGTGATGTCTACAATGAATACCTTTGTACAGTACTCAGAATCCCTGTCTTTTATTCATTCATTGTACTGTATGTTGGAGTAATGGATGTAATGGCCTTGTCAATATCAGTTGCATATTGAGGTCCTGTGTGCAAGAACAGACTAAGGTTAATGCATCTTTCAGGGAGCTGATTCATGTACAGTAGAGTGAATTCATTTCAGTCTTATGGTAGATAAGACTGTGTTTTACTCAGCGCTTTTTCTTATCACCTAGTTTTGTTATTCAAATCTGGGTTAGCCTTTTTTTTTCATAGGAACATGCTCACTGACAGAGAGAGAGAAGAGCACTGAATACTTAATGCCATTTGAAAGACATTTACCAACCACTTCCTTGACAGTCTCTTATCTACACTGCTGGTCCTCTGTAGAATTACAACAAATATTAGCATTTCCAGAAAATGAAATAAAAAGGACGGAATACTTAGAGTATGGGCCGGGACAAGCCAAAAAGAATATGAGAGTATGTATTCTCTCTGTGTTTAACACTAAGATATTTTTACCTAAAACAAGTCCTGGATACAACAGTTCCACTAAAGTTAGTTTGTCATATTTCTAGTTGGGGCAAAAATTGCAGTAGGAGACCATTACAAGCAGCAGAATTAATCCATGACATTTTGTGAAGTAAGCACAACTCTGCGGTGCGCAAAGTTTGTCTACCACAACAAGTCTAGCACAACTCCAAAACTGTAAATACTGTTATCTCTCTCTTACACAACAGATGGAACACGATGCAGCTTAATAGAGCACTTCTTCTGCCATCTTGCTGATGAGCTCTGGACTTATTATGCCACTGGCAGGGGATGCAGGGAACAGAGTAACTAGAGTTATACTGTGTGCAAATGGCGAATATGAGATTACTCCAGGTCTGGAGAGACTTCCATTCAGGAGACATTAGAGGCAGCATTGTTGTGTTCAAAGCTGGGGGACAGTGCGGGCAGCTTTGATAAGTCTGGGTCATTCGCAGAGCTCTTCTCCCACAAGAAGCCGGTGACAAGCCCCATACAGTCAGCGGCTGACTCCTGGAGCTGGAGAAAAATTGTAAGCCAAAATAAAAGACGAGCAGGACTGGTAAGCTACTGGACTGAAAACCCCAGAGCAGCATAATGATGAGGGACCTCTTGACCTTGAAAACAGTAGAAAAATATATTGCTCATTTTATTATTCTGGCTGTTGTCTTTGCTAACGCAAGACTGAGAAAGCTCGTAAGTCGTGCTAGTTATGACTCCACAGCATCTACTAAGGAATATGTGTAAAACTGGTGCAAAGGCTGTTTAGCTTACAGCAGTAGCATTTTACCACAAATAATGGAATAACAGTAATTCTGCAGTGTATTGTAGGAAATATGGTTCATTCAAATTAATTCATTGAAACTTGATTTAAAAAAAAAAAAACTTTCTAGCCTCCTACATCATGATAATGTGGTTGAAAATTTCTGAAAAATTTAGCACAGTGTGCTTTTGCTCAAATTATTGTTATTATTCTCTTCATTTATCAATTTAATCTACAGTGTGAGGAGTGAAAGTGCTGTCAGGTGATATCGCCAAATATTAATTCCCCATTTGTGTACAGTACAGTGTTGACCATTTTTTTCAAAAAGCTTTTGTATACTGTTAATTTTCAGAGTCAGTGTGCAGGCATTACTCTCTTCACTGATGCTGATTTCCAGTAGTCTTGCACCTCTTTGTAATGTCCATGTAACTGCCCTCCTGACCAAATGTCTGGTTTTTGAATAAGCATTTAAGCTCTAGACTCGAGTGTTACACTCTGTGGCAAAATCAAGAGAATCAACAACATTTAGGTTTTTGTATTTTGTTTGGTATTATAGTTCTGTATTTGATGCAGAGTAGGTTACCTCACATAACCATAACCATCATTAAGATTGTTGTGATTGCTTCAGCTATTAAGCTTTTTACCATTCCAATAGATTTATATTCTGCATAAAAGTATAATGCACATTACCTTTGTGTGAAATTTCAAGAAAACAGTCAAAATCATTCAGTGTCTCTGTGTACCAGAAGCATCCTCTGTGTTGAGTGTGTGGCTGCAGAGCAGCATGCAGCCCAGTCTGAGTGTTTCAGGACCTCTGGGCCAGTTTGGACATTGTACCGCCAGTGCTGCACATAAGCTCCATATCTAGTGCTTTTTAATTGGATATTCCACAGCAGGAGCCAAGCACAGTGTTTGAATTATATTAAGAGTCTCAGCTAGCTTACCCACAAAGGACAGCACCAAAAAAAAAAAAAAACATTCTCTGTACAAACTGAGCAGGTGTGGGAAAGAATCCTTATTTCAGACAATGATGCCACATTGTTAAGTCATACATTTCCATCTCATCACCAGAACAGAGGGGTATTTTAGTTGTGCTAGAGTTTTGCCCTGAGCAAGAGCAAAGGCAGAGATATCGTTTTGTTGGGGAAACAGCCCTTGATAGCGATAATGATCTGTGGATCTGCAGCTGGCCGATACACTGAGCCACACAGAGAGGTGGAGGCGCAGCCACGGTGCTGAACCTGTCTGGGGCCAGGATCTGACTGGTGATTTGACCTGCAGATGTAATGAACTTGCAAGTGAACTGTAAGAGGGCAGACGGGGGAGCTCGAGAAACCCACTTTGCATTCAGACAAGCAGTGAAAGGTAGCCGAGCGGCGCTGTGGTGGTGGAGGGGTTTGCAGAGCTCTGTCTCTGCTCTGCAGCAGCTCCCGCTGGAATCCAGGGGTGAAATGTAGGCCAGGACTAACACAGGCAGACCCAGGCTATAAAACCTAACAGCCCCTCGTTTACAGACGCAGCCAGTCAGGTGGCTGCACTGATTTCACTGCTAATCTGCAGTGCATGTTCTCACTAGTCTTGGCAGCTACAATGAGCCGATGATGCTGCTATTTAGCCATTTTCTCTCTCAGGTACAGCACTTGGCATGATTTAAAACAGTTAAATTGTCAATCTTGGGATATTAACATGAGCCATCTGTGTTCCTCTGCATGTAAACAAACAATTGCAGTAGTTATTAAAGAGAAGTAATCAAATATATCCTAACAGTGCTGGAAGAAAGCCAGTGCAGTCATTCTCAGCTTCACCTGGGTGGGCATAATTAAGCCTGTCTAACAAATGGAAAGTAGCCAGAGGGAAAAAAAAAGTGGATGAAATACAATAAACAATTAACATCCTGACGTGTACAAAAGCTTTAATTAACTGTCAGTACAATAACCTGTTTCCTTTACAGGGCTTAGTGACAAGAAGACTTCTCATACTGTCT